TGGGCAAACAAGATGCCACCCCTAATTCCATGCAACTCAAGCATACGGCTGAGCGATGCCTTTTTGTTCACTTCTCCAAGCTTTCACTCCACCCTAGGAGCTGAAACCAGCTCTTGCTCTGAGCCTCCAGCACTGAAGGATGGGGGATAAAGGGTGGGACAAGTCAATGCAGAAGGCTATTCAGGGTCCAAGGAGCTCCATGCAAGGAACGATGGTGTAGGGAGAGAGCTCAAGATGCTGACAGCTTGGGTAGACAGGATAGGTTTCACTCAGGGGACGTTGGATAAGGAGAGCTCATCATGGGAGGAATTAGCAGAAGGCAGGAGCCAAGTGGGAAGGCAGGTACCTAAAAAGGCAGCATGGCCAGGATAAGGCTCCAAATGCCAGGGAGATGGGCATTAAGCTGCCATCAGCGGATCAGCTCCATAGCCCCCTCCATCTATTCCAGCATCAGCCTGGCCACACTGCCCTTTTTGCCATGGGAAATTGCAACAAACAACAAAAGGCCAGAGATTTGAAAAGCCAGCATTTAGCATCATCTAGTGCTAAACCTCATCCTCTGCTCTGTTTAGTGTTGCTAAATACAACACTCTCAGCATTTGGAGCCATCATTTTGGGAAGTCATCCTCCTGCCAGGGAACACCTGATCCTTAATGGGTCCTGAGCAAGAAACGAAGTGCCCAAGAGCAGCTGCAGGGCACAGCTCAAGGCCTGACCCTGCTCTCTGGAGGTATGACAAAGTGAGGGCTCATACAGATGAGCCTTGCTCTGACTCTACAGAGCAGGGGAGGAACAAAAGAAGATTTTTCCTTAAGAAAACTGGGGGCCTCAGTGGGTTTTTGGGACAGGAGTTTTCCTTCCCACTCCACTGCCCCAACCTCCTGCTGGTTTTCCATCGCATCCCATTTCAAGCTAAATCCCACTTTCCCAGCATGGGCATTTTGCATCCCAACCTGAGCATCATCCCACCTAAGCAACAGCCAGGTTGAGCCCTCCCAGCAGCAGGAGGGCAATGGCACATGCTGCCCTGACTTTCAGTGGGAGCAGAAGGAAAAATCAAACCCAAATAATTTTATCCCATTTATTCAATCCAGGAGCCCAGGGCAGGACAAACCTGCAGCATTACCTGAACCTAAAATGTGACTTGCCCAAGCAAGAAAACATTCAGATGTGGTACCCATCATCTGCCAATAAGTTAGGAAGGGTTTGGAAGTGAGTTTAAGCTAGTCAGAATTAGGTACCATGCTGGATGGAAAACAAATTTGTTTCCTTTCCCACTCTGCCTCTGAATTACTGCTGAGCTAAACCTAAAACTAAACTAAGTGTGTTCTTGCAATTTTCCCAGAAAACTGGAGAGAAGCCCTCAAAGAGTCAGTGAGCAATCACTGAGCCTTGTTTAATGGGAGTTTGGTCTAACCTGATGGCAAACAAAAGGGTATTAATAAAATAAACAAGAAGCCAGAAACAGTGGTGAAGTGTTAGCGTACATGAACTTCTGAACAGGGATTTACACGTTAATAAGGCCTACACAGAATCTGCTGATGCCCAGATACCAATACAGAAAGCATGTGCTCCTCGCAGGGTCCCACCCTTTCCATTTACCAGAGCTCACCCCTTATTTATAGCTCCTCCTCACTAGCATTCCCTCTTTGCCAAGGAAGGAGCACTCAGGGGGAAAATTCAATATAAACCAACTTGGATTTCTTCCAACAAGATGAAGCTAAATAGCATCTGGGCAGAATGGCATTTCCATAGAAGAATATTTGGGATGTCTAGCAGGAGGTCAGGAGGAATTGAACTCCCTGTACTGAAGTCTTGGTAAGAGAAAATCCCATGGCAGAGAGAGGATACTGAGCTTGAGGGGCTGGGCACAGCTCTCGGCTTTGCCAGTCAATCCATGTTGTACCTCCTTTTACCTGGAAGTTACGGGCAGGGAAATATTCCCCCTGTCTTGCCCATGCAGGTGGAAATATTCAGCCTGGGCACTCTTCATACACAGCACTTGCCAAAACCACCATAGTGCTAGTGCTCAAGGCCTCTGGGCACAGCCATCTCCCTGCCTGGGATCAGCACGATCTAAAAAAAAATATATATATAAAAACATAAATAGATCAAAAAAGGGTTTTTCTCATGGTCCAAGATGCTGCATTTTTGCAACCAAGTCACAAATACATACTTTTTGCTGTTTTTCCCTGCAGAACCATCCCTTGGTTTGCCCTGAATACATTATTTCAGGGTGCCAGAGCTACCTGGGACATTAGGATTAAGCTAACCCAGAAAGGTCTCAAGAGAATCATTATAATTTGGGCTACAAATTCCCTGCTGAGAAGGATGGACAAGACCAGCAAGCACGACCAAGTGAATGAGTGATTTGCTGCAGCAACAGATCCCCCCAACAAAGTTGTACTCACCAGCAGCAAACAGCAAGCACAAAAAACCAAACCAAAACAAAACAAAAAACCAAAAAAAAAACCCCACCAGCAAGGCAAGCCATTACTTGAGAAAAGGGATTCAGCAGGTTTTTAGAGTGAAAAAGGGAATTGTAAAGCAAGGATCTGAGAATTTGGGGCTGGCACAACCCCACTTCAATCCACTCAACCACACCTTGTGGCAGATGCCTCTGCTGGGGCACAGTGAGGGCTCACAGCACCTGGAAGCATTACACCTGCACGGGCTGCAGGAACAGCCTGGCTCCACACATCCTGCAGGACTTTTTTCCTGGCAAACTCGGGCTTGATAAGCATGAGAAAAGTGGCCCAAGTATGTATCTGTAGATCCTGCACTGCCAAGGACAGTGAATGTCTCACCAGCTCCCATCAGATCCTGGGGAAGGTGACACTGCAGGCTCAGAAAAAGTTAAGTATATTATTATTTTCCCCCTACATATGTTAGCATTCACCTGGGCCAGGAAACATAGGAAATATCCCAGTATCATCCTTCCTCCCTGGGGCTCCTCTTCTTCCCCATCCCTGCTGCTGGAAGGATCAGGCTTGGACTTCACTTGCTCTCAGCTCCTTCTCATCTCACTTCTGAGTCAGCCCAGAACCTCACTTAGGGCTCTGGTGACACCTGAGCTAAAAGAAAAGCACATTAGAGGAAAAATAAAGAGGCAGGGGGAGGGGGTTAAAGGTTCATGCTCCTACCTAGACTTCAGCCAGCTACTGCTGAGGCTTCCCAAAGGATTGCTCTTCCCACCTCGCTGGCAGCATCTCTTAGGAAACACAAGCTCGCCACGTATTCGAACTCCAGGTTAGATGGCGTATGGGTCTGTTTCCCCTCCAAAATTCACCTACCCCGTGCCGCAGCAGCAAGCTCAGCCCCACGTGCGGCTGCAGACAGCCCTGCCCGAGCGGTCACATTGAGCTGCGCCGGCCCTGTCGGCTCACAGCGGGAGATGCAGCAGTCACTCTGATTCATTCAGACTGGCTCATCACACCCGTTTACTCACGTACACACCAGAAAAAAAACCAAATACCCCACCACCATCACCTGGGCGTACCAGGTGTATTTAACCCCCCATGTGTTGTCAGAAGGATGCAGGCAGAAGGCTCTGATGGGAACCAGCATCCCCACGTTAAGGTAGCCACGACTCCTCTTTGGGGCAGGAACCCAACACAAGTGTTTGGGTCCCTTAATGGGAGAAGGAGAATCTACTTTTATATCCAAGCAAGTGGGTCTAGGATGGTGGGAGCCTGGCAGGTCAAGGACAGTGAAGGTGGTCAAAAATGGTCAAGGTGGTCAAGGATAATCAAGCTGGTCAAGGATGACCCTTCATGAATGATGCTGGTCAAGGGCAAGAGGGAAACATTGCCCAAACCACCATAGCCCCCTCTGCATTGGGCACCAGGGCACAGTGTCACAGACCCACACACACCTCCAGCTGCTCCCTCCCAAAATCCTTGAGTGCCACAACCCCAGCTCCAGTGTGACTTCCATCTCCCATCCCATCATCCCTCATGGCTCCCACTACAGCCTATGCCTGACCAAAACCCTTCTTAGAGGTACACCCTGCAGACTCCCCAACTCTTTGCAGGTGTGCCAGACTCCTGCTGACATATGGGGCCACTGTTGACCTGCCGAGTGAGACCGGAAAGGAGACAGCGCTGCACATGCAGCCAGGCACTGACTCTGTGACCATGCCCACCTCTACCTGCTGCACGTGGCATGCATTGAAGCATGCAGCACACAGGAGGATACAGCCCTTGGCATCCTCTTTGGGCAGGAGCCAGGTGCCAGCAAGAGCTGCCTGCAGCTCTGCTGGTTGCTGACTGCCCACAATGCCGACATCAATGCCTGGGATGAGACACGGAGGAGTCCCTTGCACTCCTGGTGTGCTTCCTCCTGTGGTGCGAGGCCATCATTCACGCCATTGACTACGATGGCATCTCCCCGCTGGGCTGTGTGCTCAGAGCACTGCCTTCAAAAGGGAGCTGCGTCCCCACCTCATAGTCCAGCTGCTGCTCAACCACAGCTCCCAAAAGATATGGCCTTCTGCCTTCATCAAGGTACAAAACAGTCTCTGTGCATTCCCTCACACCTAGGATGGTGCAGTTGGGGTTGGGGTGCTTTGGGAAATAAAAAGCCAGGGGGGGTGGGAGAATTTGGGAGAACCTCCCAGTCCAGGCAGGGAGAGGAGACCATGGCACCAAGGTTGGCTATGCTGCTGAGAATGATGGAAATGAAAGCCCAGCTTGATGTGGCAGCAGGTGGAGCAGGCAGGGCAAAGGGCAGGGTGGAGCCAGAGTGGCTCAGAGGGGCTGGCAAGGAGGATATTTTCCTGCCTAGGGAGTGTCAGAGACAAGCTCGGTACCTCAGCCACCAGTGCAGCTGCCTTATAGCTCTGCATTTCATTGATTTTACATCAAACAATAAAGAAAATATTATCCTGGCTTATCACACACAAGCCACGAAAGTAAATAAGAAGCAAGAGCTGCATCCAGAGGAAGTGTCTCAGCAAGGCAGGTAGGTCTTCCCACTGCTGATGGAGCAGATGGAGAAAAACCTCCAAAACATGCCAGGAGAAACCCTACACCTGCCTTATCCTTACACAGGGCAATCCCAGCCTGGACCGTGGTGGGGTGGGACAAATCCCATCTGCAGCAGGTGGATGCTCTCTCCCCCTGGGACCTGCCTCTCCATCTGACCCCCTCACATTGCCCACATGTAGGTGCTGAAGTCCTGCACAGCTGTGCCAGAGGTCATGGAAGTCCTCTTCAATTCTTACTCACAAATCCATCTCCAACACATGGGCCAGGGCTGTGCCAGAGGAGGTGTTCCACCTGAGACAGCACTGGTGTTTTGGATGGCTGAGTCCCAAGGAGGGAGTTTTACCCACAGAGAGAGGGGTTTTTCCCCACCCAGACTTCACTTGGATGGGAAAAAAAACGCAAAAGGAACAGTCCCCAGAGCACCACTACACTCCTGATTCATCCAGGTTTGCATCCTTTTAGCTCCATCAACATGAGACCCTCACATCCCTGCCCCAAACTGCAACAAAATCCACTCACAGCATGAGAAAGTGGCCCTGGAGTCAGAGCACTGCCCACCAGGAGCTCACACTGCTCATTTAGGTTTGAAAAAGCTCCTACTCAGGTGTGCAACGGGTACAGCCAGCCCACTCTGCCATGATTTGGGATGGCTCCTGGCCCCCACAGGTCCTTGGTTGGGAGGCAATGGCTGCTGAAATGCAAATAAAGCCTTCAGCATGTTCTAGGAGATGGGAGAAAGAATTATTCCAAGCTAAGGAAAGGCTGAGGCTGTACAGCACAATCCTGCTTTGTTTCCTTGTATCAGAAACAAAGTCTTTTACGTCAGCTGCTTACAGGGCTGTTACTGCCGTGGCCGCGGGAACATCCTGCTCTGCAGCACTGGCAGCGAGGCTGAGTTCCTCCCATATGCTTCCACAGGAGATTTTCTCATCCAACCTTCACCTGCAGAGCCATGTCAGCGCATGGACCCCTAACCCATAGTCACACACAGATTCCTTACCTCCTTCCCTTAGATCTTCGTTCCAAAGTATCTCCAACTTGTTTGGTACTCAGGAAAAACGTGATGCTCATGTTCCCACACTCTCTCTGCAGCAGCACCAACCATTCTACGAGTCCTTTTTCCAGCTGGAGGACACAGCCTGGTGCCTGCAGCACTTCAGCCATTCTACTATTCGGAAAAAGTTTGGCAGCAAGGGCCATTGCCTCGTGCCCTTGCTGCCTGTGCCCAAGGCTCTGCGTGATTACCTGCTGCTGGAGCCCGAAGGAGTCATACTTTGAAGAAGCAGATCCAGGTCCAAGTGCAGCCCTTCCTTCCTTCGTGTTCCCTCCACGGAGCACAGCAGCATCCATTTCTGTCAGCCGAGCCAAGGAACTCCAGTTCCCATGATAGATGGCTGTTTTCCAGGGATTTATAATGTAACTAAAATGTGCTTTCAGCTGTAACTTTGTATAGATTTTTTTCTAATTGTGCTTTAAATAGATTATAAAGAGTAATAAAATGATTAGTAGCTGTTAGGAGGCAGCAGCAGTTATGAATAATGCTCATTATAAAGGATCCCTACAAAACTCCTCAGGTGTGCAAAGGCAAACATGCACAGCAGGTGACTCCAATCAGCCCATGTGGGCATCAGATCCCCTTGGATAACTCTCACCTGTGAGCAGCACAAGCAGTGCCAGGACCAGAGGTGCAGCATGAAAGCAGGATGCAATATCCAGTGGCATTAATAGAGACCAAAAATCTGTTTTTTTGAGAAAGTGCTGGTTATTCCACACTGGGGGGTGACGCAACCCCTATATCTCCCTGCAGCCCACGGGCTGCATCAGCACCTCCCATACCCATCATGCCTATCCCTGCTCCTAGACTGGCACATGAAGGGGCTGGAAAACCCAGGGGCACCCCAAAATGCAGGAGCTTGGGCTTTCACTTCCCACAGCCACTTAGCCAAAGGTACCAGGAGGAGTGAGGATTTGTTTTCCTCAGAGTCTCAGGCTCCCCAGATGAATTCCTGGTGAACAAAAGCAAGTGCACACACACACATCCCTTGGAAAAGCAGCTGCGCTCATGCCAGCAGCTTTGCCAGATCGTTCCACTGCTTAATTCCATTCACTATTCCAATATAAATATCCATATAAATAACTCATTTTACATGTTTGGTTGGAGTTTGCACCAGCACCCAGTGCTGTCCTAGGTTGAAGAGTCAGTGCAGATCCCAGACCTGCTGCCCTTAGAGCACGGAAATGTGGAAGAAAAAGAAATTCCTACCTCTCCTAGCTTCCAGCTGCTGCTTCCACAACTTCCCTTGCCCTTTAAGTTGTATATGGATGTGCATGAGCATCATGAGGCTCCTCGGTGTTCTCAGTCTTTGATGCCCCACACAGGTATGCTCCACAGCAAACCTCCGTGACCTCTGAGACAGGCACTTGGTGACTTTAGTGGCTGTTGGACTTCATGGTTTGTTTTGTGCTCAGAGCAGGGTGCAGGATTTAAAAGGGATTTAGAGAAAACCCATCCTGGCTGAGTCATTTTGCATTTCAACCAGCCCAATCTAAATTTTGGGGGCTTCTTTCATCTTTTGTGTGGTCCCCCTAGCAGGAAGAATTACACATTTTACATCCGTATTGGGCACGTTTGCATGGAGATAGAGTCCCACCAGGTGACTGCACCCTCCCCCAAAATCCCAGATCCTTGACCTCGCTCCGCAGCTGGGGGTGGGGGGAGGTGTGGGAAATGCACATCAAAGGCGAAAGGACACCCCCCTGGCTGTGTGCGGGGGGCGGAGGGGAGATGTGCTG